CTCCCTCCTTCCTTCCCTCCATTCTTCTCTCCTACTCTCCTTCCTTCCCTCCCTCCTTCCTTCCCTCCTTCTGTCCTCTTCTCTAACCAACCTTTGCTCCCACTGCTTCAGATTGATTGTTCTTGGGCTACAGTTCTTATCTGATCTTGAAAGAACATTCCAGGCTAGTCTTCAACCTGATAACCAACCAGCATTGTCCTATTGGAGCGCTGTTTGGGACAAGGGGATCCATAGAACAAACACTCTGGTGAAGACAAGATTGGGAGATACAGTTTCATCCATTCCTCTATATCTTAACTTAGACAAGGACATGATGTAGGCTGGGCTAATGATGGATCATTCCAGTCAAAGCAAGCATTAAATCAATATCTCATGTATGAAATTCCTCTCTGCCTCTTTCTCTCATTCTGTCTCTCTGCCAAAGAGGAGCATATAACTTAGGTTACAGTAATGTCCACCTTTCCCCTAGATGTCAGAAAGAAGCCATAGACAAAGTTCAGTCTCTAAGAACTATGCTCCTCCTCGGGTGCTCCCCTGTGCTATTAACAATCTCACCTGCCTCCATAAGGTTTTGACTGACTGAGCCACAGCAAGGTAGCTTACAATCGGCAGGCTTCATGTTAAAATAGTATACCAGAGGGTCAAGAGCACTGTTGATACTAGCAAGGGCCATAGCTGCACGCTGGGCTGAGCAAGTGAAGTGCAGCAATCCTGGAGCCGAAAGAATGCCAATACGGCCCAGGGTGTGTAGCACATGGATGATATGAAAAGGGAGGAAACAGAAGATGAGCAGGCTCGTCACCATCAAGAGGGTTTGAAGGGAATGCCTACGCAATGAAGACGCCTGCATTGTCCCATGGCCCAGATTCATAATTCGGTGGGCAATCACAATGGAACAGATAATGATAGTAAGGAAGGGCAGGAAGAAGCCCAGGGCTGAGGAAGATAGGACCATGGCTGCCAGACTTCCACTCCAAACTTGGGCTGGGAAGTTTTCCATGCAGGCGGTGTTTCCATTGGAGAAGCGATGAGTCACGGTGCTCTTGGAGAAGAAGATCAGCAGTCCAATCCCTACCAAAGACCAGATAGCCATGGAGAGCAGCACACGATACAGAGGCCATTTGAGGCGCAGGTAGACGACAGGGTGGAGGACAGCCACATAACGCTCCAGGCAGATGCAGGACAGGAAAAGAGTGCAGCTGAACATGTTGGCCAGGAAGAGGGCATTGGTGGCCTTGCACAGGCCTTCTCCAAAGGGCCAGTCATTGTGCCTGGCGTGATACACTGCCTGTAATGGCAGCGACAGGGCAAAGAGCAGGTCAATGATAATCAGGTTGTAGATGAAGGTCATGATGGGTGGGGCCTGGGCTCGGTAGAACCAAGAGCTCCATAAGGCCACGCCATTTGAGGCCAGGCTCAGGAGGCAAACCAGGCTGTAAATGATGGGTAACAGTAAGTGCTGGAATCCTGCTTCAGCCACACACTGCAAATGTGCTGAGTTGTTAGGGAGAGAGCCTGGCGTTTCCCTCAAAAGGAAGGGTGCATCTGTGCCATTCTTCCACATCTGCAAAACAAAAATAAAACTTCCATGTTAACCCAGAGTGGACAACCTCTGGGCGTCTTAAGGAACAACATGGTATTGGACCTGGGTACTTGAGAGACCGCCTCCTGCCAATTACCTCCCATAGACCCATTAGAAGCCACAGATTAGCCCTCCTCCGAATTCCATCTGCCG